TCTGCTTGGGCTTTTCCCTGGCCTCTGTCGCCCAGTTGAGAAAGCCCGGAGGGAGAGAAAAGTGGCATCATCCTCATCCTCATCCCCATCCCCGTCCCCGTCCCTTTGGTAACCCGAAGGGCCAGAGTCACTCCCTCCTGCAAGCCTGTTAGGGCAACCTTAGAACACGAGCCGCATGTATTTATTGATTTATTTGGCACAAGCCTGGGTGGGTTGAGGCTGATGAAGTGGGCTGCAATCCATGGGCCTCTTGTTTTTGTCAGATAAGAAGACCATGTTGTTCACCCGGCTGCCCCCCCACCCCACCCCACCCCAGGGAGGTTTTCGGGAAAGGCAACCGGGGATCTGGCCCAGGAACAGCACATGGAGTCTCTTCCTCCCCCCCCCCGTCACTGTAAAAATACTGTAAATAACAAGATGGTTGCTACAACAATTATGCAGTCTCACAATATATTCCAGAAACAATTTTCAAGAACAAACTCCTTTTTTGAACTCCCTGCCTTTGAACTCCATTGAATAACCTTTCCTTTAACATCAATTCACAAGGCAAGGAAGGTCATTTCTCCCCTTCTGTGGCGGAAAGCGATGGAGGAGAAAGGCTTTTGCTGCTCCAGATGAAGGCTGAGGACCTCCATACCCTTTTTGCACTGGTGGTGATGGGGCTTCCCCCCCCCCCACAGATAACAATAGTTCCATCCACAAGATTTCCCCAGGGTGCATTTCAGGGAAACATCAAACAAAACACAGCTATGCATTTGAAACACGTTAAGAACAACATCTTTAAATCCCTCAGAAGACCCTCTTAACAGATTCCTCACCCCCTCCCTCACAATTAAAAACATGTTAACATACTAAATTAGTCTGGCATTTCTGCTCCTCCCCCAGCTATCAAACCGGCATGCCAATTAATTCACAAGAGGCACTGGTCTCAGAAACATTTTATAGTCCGCTCCTGTGGGATGAGAAGGGGAGATAAAATGAGGTTTGCGGACGAGGACAGATGTGCTGAATCGGGAGGATCATGCAGGAATTCTTCCTGAAATTGTTTTTCTCAGGCAGATGATGGGGGGGGGGAAGAGAGACAGATTCACTTTTCCCTCGCCCTTTAGAAAAGAGAGAAACTGTGATAAGCACAGTTTCTTTAAAATTACATGTACGCACGTACAAAAGATTCCACTTGCTTGCTCTCAGTGCATATACTGTATAAGACACATAGATCTTGCATCGCAGGGGCTCAATGTAGTAAAAGACTTTTTTGCAAAGCATCCCAGATCTATAAAAATATTTCAGAGCTGTAGAATCTGCTGCCCGTGGGGCTTTCTTTCCTTCCCAATAAATGTTTGATAACGGCACACCACACACCTACGCGACAGAGGGAAGTGGTGGCTGGTGGTGGGGATGCCAGGCTAGATCCAAGCGGCTGCCTCTCTTCTGCTCCCGGTACTATATTACTATGGAAACACTCCTGAAGTTTCCCCGTGGTGTTGGCTTCTTCCCCCGCTCCACCTTTTCCCCCCACTCTACAGTGGAAGGCTTACTGCCAGCCGAAGAGGGAGGAAGGCGTTGCCATGTGTATGCATGTGTGTGAGTGCCAAATAAATAGAAAGACCACAGCATCCGTGCAAAGATAAAGTCATGGGGGGGGGAACAGGGAGGGAACTAAGGGGAATGGCAACAGGGAGGATGCAAGCAGGCCTGAGAGGGAGAGATGCATACATACATGTTACAACATTCCTGTCTGTCCCCCCCTCCCATTACCTGTGCACAGACCAAGGGTAACCAATCTCCCCCCCCCTTGTCCCCATTCTGCAGATGGTCAGCCCTTTTCAGACCAGGCTTCCTTCCCTTGCAGAGGGGCCCGAGTTCACTCTTCTGGCTGCAGGTTGAATCTCCAAAAGTCCCCCTCCGATAGGCACCTTGCTGCTGGCATGGGGTGCCTCTCCTGAGTAGCCACGGTATAGGAGAGAACGGGGCTTTCTCTGCAGAAGGCTGGCTGTTGTTTCACGGAGGGGGTCCACTCCGGACAGAAAAGCTGAAATGTAAAGTTGGAAATGACAGGGACGGGGCTTTCTCCTTCCCTCATAATAAAAAAATTGGGGGATGCTGGAATCGTACTGGAGACGACGGCAAGCAGTGGATTAGGGACAAAACTGGCAAAGGTTCATGTCAGGCGGGCCGTGGCGAGGCGGCTGCCTCCCTCTTCCACTTGGTAGGCTGCCCGTCCAGAGGCAACCCACCACCTCCCAGCCTGTTTCCCCGGTGGAAAGAAGGAGCCTCCCCTGTTGAGCTCTTCCTGCATTATACACCTACATTTACCTCTGCCTCCTGGTATCTGTGGAGGACCGGCTGCCTCTGGTAGAGCTCAGGAGCTGCTGGGATGCTGAAGGGCCCCAGCGGGACTTCTTCGGGGCAGGCTGCTTGGGTGGGAGGGCCAGGAGGACCACCTTCTGCACCATCACGGCCCTGTTGGGAGACACGGGGCCCCCACGTCATCTTCTTTTGCCTTTAAACAGAAAGCAGGCGTCACTCTGGGCATGTTCAAGACTACATACGTCTATAGGTCCACCGGCCTATATTTGTGCGTGTATTCTCTCCAGCAGAAGCATTGCTTGGTCATGTGTCTATAGGTCCACCGGCCTATCTTCTCTCCAGCAGAAGCATTGCTTGGTCATTCATACCCAGTTGGTGGTGGTGGTGCTGCTGATGCTGCTGCCATGCTTCCTGAAGACAGGAGGGCCTTCTGCTGCAGGGAAACCATTCCCCAGCATTCTGTGTGAAATGGCATTCTACAGGAATGGCAACTACAGGAAAATGTAGTTTTCACACCAGCTAATGACTATAGTAGGAAACCACCCCCCACCCCATATCCACTGCAGATTGGTTCCAAGCCCCCACCACGGATACTGAAAAGCATGGATAATAGCAAATGTTTTTTAGATACAGATACATATAGATATACTGTACTGTAGATAATATATACCATGGCAAAAGGAAAAAAATCAGAGGGCACCAGAGACCACACTATGCATTCTTCACTAACCAGTACAGTACAGGTATTTATTGCTCTCTCTCCCTCTAGTGGGTGATTGTGGTAATTCATGTGAAAATTAGTTTTTCTGGATTTTTTTTCCTTTTAATAGTTTTAATATAAGGAAACTGTGGATACTGATCCCATGGATAGGGGGTCATACTGTATTGAAGCAGTGAGTGCTCTATGTACACATGTGATTGGAGCTTAGTTTGTCGGAAAGATTTATATACCCCCCCCTTCAGCAGAGTTTCAGGGCAATTTACAAGGTTGAGTTATAATACTGTACGTGGACCAGTAGACTTTGAGTGGCCTCAACCGCAGCAGGCCCGTTAATTCAGTGGGATGTATGTAAGTGCTGACTTTCTTTTAGTTGGGACTAGCAACAAGATATTTATTAACCAATAAATATAAGAAATACAAATTACCCTTGTTGGTCCAAATCTGTGATGTGACTGTGGATGAGGAATCTCAGTCCTCTTTCTCGAGGGGCACTGTTTGTGAGTGCCTTTCCACAGAACAGCCCCACACATTATTTCTTGTGTGTGTGTGTGTGTAGGTGTGCGTTTGCCTCCTAAATTTCCCACATTGACTAGGAAAGGGGCTGCTTACTCATCAATATTGTTCTGCCTTCTCTTCAGCTCCTCCAGGTGATAAAAAACGGACAAAGCTCGGAAATCTTCTGGCCTTTTCCGTTTGGCTCCCTTTCTCCTTCTGTGGCACAGCTCCTTAGGCGAGGGAAGTTTCTCCAGGGTTGAAATCACCTGCCAGGGGAGGAGAGGGCCAGCCTCCGTCTTGGCAGCTCCTCTTCGGGCTACACCGCCCGAGGTCTGAAAGGCGAAAAAGACACGATTTCAATTTGTGAACTGCCCTTATTTTAGTCAATGATTTATGTTAGCGAAAGCAAAAGTTGCAATACCATCTGAGATACCTGATTTTTGTTCAGTCATAAAAATTAAAAGGGTGAATTCTTATCTAAAATGAAATCTGCTGTAGATATGAGAGGTTCTAAATAGGTTGGACTACTAGCCCCCACCATTGCTGCCAAGCTGGGCATAGTATGACTACCTGTGCCAACTGCAGGAGGACCTATGTCGCGGTGGTGGCAATGGCTGCATGTTTTGGATGGAGGTGGCCGTGGCAGGTTCCCTGATGATGTGAGACCCCAGCTGCCCCCTGAGAACAGATTTGGCCGTGCAGTGGGGGAGAGTGAGAAGCTGAGGCCTTCTCCCTGCATCAGCTAAACTGTCTACCCTCAACTTAATGAGCTCAGCTCCACTCAGCATTCAAGAGCATCCCTAATTAGCAACTTCTGGTGAGCTAAGCGTGGAGAAATCATAACACTTGGAGAGACTGTACATGCCATGCTGCCTGTCAGAGGATAATTAATCTGGAGGAACAAAGGGTGGGGAGAAGAACCCCAATCCCCTAGAGCACCCATCATCTTTTCCAGCTCAGAACAACATTTTTCTTTCTAAAACCAGGTCCTCTTGTTTCCATGCAAGAGAATTCGTAGTTTATGGGGGGGGGCAGAAGGAGCTAACCAAAAAAGCTGTCCTGATCCAAAGGCAGAAAACATTTGAGAAGAAAAAAGAAGGATTCCGCTTGGTACTGCAACCGGGCTTTTTTAATGGGGTGTTGTTACTCTTGAGCAATGGCTGTCAGACCCCTGAAATTTAAGTGCATGTGGGTTGCCAGGAATATTCCCACCATTCACTGGAGGCAAGAAGGGGTAGGGGCGGGGGGGACAGACAAACATCACAAAGCCAAGGCGGTCACAGTTTACATTCCATCTGTTAATAAAAACCAAAGAACACGCTAAGAGACACACACTAACACAGGAAGAGGAGTGGTACTATTGCTGTCACACACCCAAAACTGGCATACGTGCCGGTTTATCTTATTCCTGTAACTATGGTGGAAAGTTATGCCAGGAATATTCATTGCAAAATGCAGACAAAGCAATTTAGTCCTCGAGCTTATTGGCACGACGGCATCCAAAGTTGACTGGAACTAAATGGAGGGTCAGGATTGCCCAGCAGGGTCTCCTGATCCTCTACGTGACCAGGCTTGTAGGTCTCCCCACCATGGACCCATGACCTCTGTCCCCTCCTTCCTTTTGCTGGGGCCTCCAGGGGATGGAGAGCGGATCCTTCTTCTTCCAGGTTGGGAAGCTGACCTTACGGCTACCCAGCTGTGTTCCAGCTGATGGGGATGCAGGGGTGTGGGAGATGGCCGTCTTTACATCCCTAGGATGGCTCAGTGCCCTGCTGAATGGTCACCACCCATCCAATAATATCCCCTCCCTTCCCTTCACGACATGTTCCTTCCTGGTGGAAGGAGCTGATGACAGCCCTCTGACAGCAGCTGAATGTGAGGTTTGTTCTGTTGTTACTGTGGGGTTTGCTATAACGGTACTCCACCACATGGTGAAGGGCCAGCTCTTCAGCCATACGGTTCGCGCTCTGTGGTCCGTGCGTCACTGTCCTTCTCTGTCATGACGCTGGCACAGTGCCATTCCATCCCTGGCCGCAGAACACCTGAGCGAAGGTGATTTGGGTTGGACACGAGCCAGGAAAAGCGAGGCCTCTCATCAAAATATATACTCATTTCTACTCTAAATAAGTCCTCAAGGAGGTAACTATGCGAGAGACAAGGTAAGGGAACATGTAAGGTCGATGGGTGGGGCACACAGGGGAAAACACTGTGCACTGCCTAGTGTGGAGAGGGTGTCTGGCAACTTCATGCAAAAAAATAAAATAAATAAAACAGTAAGAGAGAGAGAGAGTCAGAGTCTAGATCAGTGGTTCTTAACCTTTGTTACTCGGATGCTTTTGAACTGCAACTCCCAGAAACCCCAGTTAGGACAGCTGGTGGTGAAGGCTTCTGGGAGTTGCAGTCCAAAACTCCTGAGTAACCCAAGGTTAAGAACCAGTGGTCTAGATGATGTCTGCATGCTGTGCAGAATGGAATATAGCATGGGAGTGAATCCTGCTCCTTTGGTCTGGCTTCTGTCTACAGAAGGCCTACAGTTCCCATACAATTTGTAAATTTTATGTTTTAAAGGTTGAGCAGGTGACATAGCACTAAACTGATGCAGCATTAATTTAAACGTCAGTTCAGTGCTATTTCACTTGCTAAATGTTTAATTTTTACTGCACTTGATCTTAGCCAAAAGGCTGAAAAATGAATAATGTTTTATTTTGAAAGGGGGACTTGAATCCCATTGAAAAGTTTGGGTAAAAGTGTGATAAATAACGGCAGAGAACAGTGCGGGAGAACCTGGTCTGTATGATGTGTGGGTGCTTGATAAACTGACCTTTCCAGAACAAGTGAACCTTTCTGTGTGAACTCTGGAAACGACTTACATGCCAGCCTGCATTACAGCAAAGTTTGCAACAACCCAGGACCAACTTCTGGGCAATGACATGCTAAGGATACCCAGGGACTGCCAAGATCAGAGGTACAATATACCTCTGCCACAGAAGCACAGCATTTGTGGTGTCCTTGTGCATAATGTGTGTCATATGAAGTAGGATTGTTTGCTGGGGGGAGGGCTGAACATTCATTGCCTTCTTCCATGTGTGGGCATCACTTGGCTGTTCTTGTTACTGGCAGAATCCCCATGGGTGTGCTTTGGCAGTCTTTAGGGACATGCCTGCTATTTTTATGCCATTTTCTGATTTTCCAAGTTGTCTGCCTTCCCCTATTCCCCCAGCCTGAGGAGATATAGGATTTAGTTAGTTAGTTAGTTAGTTAGTTAGTTAGTTAGTTAGTTAGTTAGTTAGTTAGTTAGTTAGTTAGTTAGTTAGTTAGTTAGTTAGTTAGTTAGTTAGTTAGTTAGTTAGTTAGTTAGGATACTGCTCCATTAGTGGAATGCATTAATATACCACCTATTAATCTTTGATAGGAGCGCTGTATCTCTTGTCCTGAAGCCTACCATGCCTGGTATTTTCCTGGCAACAAATTAATTTCCCTTCTTTTCAATGGATGTGATGCCTACTTCCCCCTCCCCACCAAAGGTATCAAGTTCCATACAGCAAATGAGGCTTGCAAGAGAAGTACGCCCACAGACCCGGGTTTGCTAATCAAAGCGGACTCTGTATTCATTTTCTCTGCCTTTAGTTCTCTAGAGGAGAAGCGAACAATTTCAAATAAGGACACATGCCATCCATGAAAAACCTACCAGCAGGGGTGGGGCCTCGTGGTATTCTTCCATCCAGTGGGAGCTGAAAGATTAATGCACAGCTAAGTACCATCGATTTTTCACTTCAAAATTCTATAAATATGAAATCTGTAACCAAGTGAGAGGAGATGCTTTTGTAGCAGCCACGAGTGCTCATCAAGCACAAGGGGAAGCATCTTCACCACAACATGGGCCGTGCATGTTCTGCTAAAGAGAGGCTGCATTCTAGATGCATTCACATGCCCATCATTTCATTGGCCTGGGGATGTTGGTTTTGCTAGAAAAGGGAAAGGAAATATATAGAAAAATCAAGCCCGGCATTCTCACTCCTAAGTGTGCTACCCCTGAGATTTTTTCAGTCCCTTCTCACAGGTTTGTAAAAATCTCTTTACAATCTTACGACCTTCAGGCAAATACTTCAGATCATGGTGGGCGCCTCTGTACAAAATGCCCGTTTTCTCCTGCCAAAGGCTGCATCCACCAAGGCCTGTGCCAGGTCCAGAAATGACCAAAACCCTCCCCTAAATCAGGACTGGGGAGGGGGGGGGGAATGGAAGTACTGTGATTGCTATTTTTTTTAATTTGCTTTTTTGGGCTGGAAAAGATTTAGAAGGCTTGGCAGGACCTTTCCATTCTCTAATTCATTAAATAGGTTCCCTGCACAATTAATTTGTTTTGGACCAAACAAATTCATTGTGCAGGGGCTTTCTATGCATTGGGAAGCTCAAGGTGTCAAAGTTTAGAGCCTCTGGATTCTGAAATCAGCACCCAGTTCCCGGTTTAATGACTAGCACAGCAGAAGTGAAGAAGTGTGCTTGGACCCATGAAGGCTTAAGGGATACAGCAGCTCTTTTATCTTTGAGGTGTCACGACACCAATGGCTCTCCACTATGCTGAGCCAGTCTGGCCACGTGGGAGGTTCTGTGACCAGTTCTGGGATCTGCACTTTCAGAAAGGTATAGGGGGAAAATGGCGACGTGCAAAGGCATTCGATAGGGAGAGTCAGAGTATGGAGGGCAGGTTGAATGACCTGCATATGCTTCCACGCAGAGGAGAGGAGAGTGGCAGGAATACACATAACTACTCTGCTAATGGATTGCCCTTTTTTGGTGGACCGAGAAGGCCGGGTGTGTGTGTGTAAAATAAGGGCTCTTACTCAGAAAAGGGCAGTGACTTATTTTTTCCTCTCTCAGAGGGCTAGGGATAGAGTGCAGTCCAAAAAGCAGCCGCCAAGGCCGAGGCTGGCCCTCTCCTCCCCCGGCAGGTGATTTCAACGCTGGAGAAACTCCCCTCACCCAAGGAGCTGTGCCACAGAAGGAAGAAAGGGAGCCCAATGGAAAAGGTTGGAAGATGTCCAAGCTCTTGCCCATTTTTTTTATCACCTGGAGCAGCTGAAGAGAAAGTAGGCACGAGCAGGCACTTTTCCTAGTGAATGAACGGACATTATTATCAAAGGGAAAGGAAGATTTCAGCTGAGCATTAGAAGAAACATCCGTAGCAGTTGGACCCAGAAACAAATGCCAAATATGTGTGTTGTTGTGTGGCGAGTGATTCCTCAGCATCTGCCCAGATCCTGGCCACCTTTCTGCTGAAGGCACGGAACCTTTGACTCTGGATTTTTTGCATGGAGCAAGAGGTTGGACGAGGTGGCTGCCAAGACTTCCTGAATGCTACCATATTCGGTGAAATACTGCCGGTGGGTACTCAGGGTGTAACCCTGCAGCTCGGCAAGCACCCTGGCAAATGGTCCAGAATTTTAAAATGTATTCAAGGGGCTTTGTGACTCTTTTTACTACCTGATACTTAACAGTGAGCCTCAATATGGATGGGGTTCTCGAGGACAGTGACGTGACGCGTTTGGCTACCTTCCTCTTTCAGACAGAGTTAAAGGATTGGAAAGGAAAAAGAAGACGAAAGACAGAAAGAGCTCCCAAAGGACCATACATTCGCCCACGGCAGGCAGCCTGCTGTGACAGGAGAGAGACTACCTTGGCGGCTGGCTGAGTCGATCCCAGAGGTTCCCGCTGGAAAAGTTGGATTGGAGAGCAGCTGCTTCTGGAGAGGATCTGCTGACTTTCTTGGACTGCCTGGAAAAAGGAGACAACGCAAAGGTACATTACACATACGAAGAGTCCAGCATAAATATTTATGTTAGACAACGTGACACATTGCTCAGACTTTGGCATCTTAAACACTGGAGTACTGAACAGTTACACAGCTAAAGCCGAGGGGCCCAGACCCACTTAGGTGTGTTTACATGCCACTTAAATGACTCTGAAAAGTTGCACTGAAAATGCAAAGTAACCAAGTGAACATGGATCTCAAATCCTGTGTCTCTAGCTCCTGGGCCAGCAACTGCCAAGCACAGCGTGCTTCTGATAAGAAGACAGGAAGGTCTTCTTTGCTGGCTGATCAGACAGAACAAGTAAAATGTGTGTAATGTGTTCTCGAAATGCGCCAAAATTTGTGTACATTAAATAATAAATGCATGTAACATTCAAGATGGGGCAAGCACCCCCTGATGCATGGATATCCGTAGCAGTAGCTGAGAAAATGTTTGTCTGTAAGGAAAGTAGGGGATATTATCCTGTTACCATCACAGGATAAAATCCCAACTTTCTTTGCATGAAGTTGCCCCCATAAATTATTGAAGGTACAGTAGAAATCAGGAGTCCCTTGGGCCATGGGGCTGCCTTTCTGACTCTGGCAAGCAAGAGTGGAACTGTAACTCCAGCCTTGAACATATTCATGAGGGAATAGGTTCCATGGAAGTCTGGGCAACTTATTTTTGAGGAAGAAAACATGCTTAGGCATCCTTTGCCAGTCAAGCAAGCAGGTTTTTTAAGGCCATCTCTAAGATTTTCAGGGGGTCTGTCTCTTGGTCTAGAGTGGTAGCTACAGTGCCTCTCTTCACGTGTGGGCAGGGTGAGTCCACTTACAGCAATGACATTTTTCCAGATATTTTTGGTAACATCTAGCTATTCGAATCTTTCCAACCAATGTCTTTTCCAGCATAACAACAAGCATATCCAAGGAAAGAGTTTAAAATGACAGCCTTGCTTGTTGCTTGTATGGAAAAGGTAATGTTTACTCTAGAAGACACATCATTTGCCCAGTGTTTGCGTCATCAGCCCAGCTTTCAGGTATAACCCTGGGAGGCCGATCAGCGGTTATCCACCAACCCATACATAACTAGATGCAATGACTTCCTTTCCAGCAGTCCCTCGTGGCTTTTCATTTAATAAAGGACTGTTAAATTTAATAACCCAAGGAAGTGCATCCAAAGACCCTTTCATCCCTTCTTAAGAGTGATCTACAGGGAGGACTTTGAGATAGTCTTGCTCAGAGGATAGCCTATACGGCATACATTTCTCCATCTTGGAGAAATTTCCTTTATGCTGCCAAGAATCTTTGAAGTAACCAGTTGATTGTTAACCAGTTTGGTTTATATGTTCCTACTCCCTCGTTCCTTTTCCCAGTACTGGAGGTGGATAAAAGAAAGACAACATCACCCAGAAAACCATATTTCAGCATATTACTTCAGAGTTATAGACATAAACCTCCAGGAGAGAAAAGATCTACAAAATCATTGTTTCAGTAACATTTAATACCTTCTGAAGCAATAATGTTATGCATTACACGCTGCGAAGTCGCTTCCAGTTTAGGGTGAACCTAATAAGGCTTTCAAAGTAAGCGATATATTTAAGGAGTGATTTTACTGCTCATACACATAAACACACAAGGGCGTCCATGATCTGGAAAGGACTTGAACCCATGTCTCTTGAATCCTAGTCTGTCACCACACTACACTGATTTAGAGAGGCAATAAGATTGTCCCCAGAAATATCCTTTTGTGAACCCTGGATCCTTAATTTCCCACCAAACAGCTTAGCTGTCATCATCAGCGCTGAGTTTACATCAAGCACCTCAGCCAAAACCGATCTCCTTTTATTTCCTGTAGTACTATCATGAATTTCCTATAATGCTCCCTTTTTGAAATATGGAGGCCATTCCTCTTCTGGTGAGTCCTAGGTTGTTTAAGGCACTGTTAAAGATTTTCTTTCTTTTTTTGCCCAACCGCTAAACTGTTCTACTTTTTTTTTTTTTTTTTTTGGACACATCTACCTTGGAAATCTCAAAGTGGTGCTGACTGAAGACTGAAAAAAAACCTGCTATGAGGGACCGTCACAGAGAGGGAAGACACCAGGACCAGTTCCAAACAGAGCAGCATCTTCATTCAGCATCAGAGATTATGTCTAACTTACCTAAGCAGTATAATAGGACCGGCCGAGGATGCTACTGATGGCGGCTAATGTCTTCCCATCTTTAATTTCAGTTTCCCACTGCCACCTGCTGGTAACATCCACGTCCAGTTTCTTATTTTACATTTTGCAGATTGCTATTTTATAATTTCTACTACTTGTTGTTAAACAAGGCAGCCACAACAACAGCCACGTCCACCGCAGCAATAATCCAAGGATGATTTTAAGTGGAACCGTTTGGAGGCCCGGTAGGGTGACCTCACAGCATAATTTTTTAGAGAAGCAAATCTTTCCTTCTTGCCATCGTTTGTTGCTGTCCCTCTTCTTACCCTAACCCAAATAATCAGAACTGTGAGTCAACCTTACCCGACTCAACAATCATAACTGAATTTGGCTTCTTTTCATAATTTGATTTTTGTATTTAAAAAAAAAGAGTCTCCTAGCCTGTCCCCAACAAGGAGACCGATTTGATTTTAAAATGTTAGAACCTCAGTGTTTCTGGGCAGTAATGCAAGCAGGCCAGTTTCTCCTCTGGATGGAGCAGAGCTCCTCTTTTTGATTGACAATATGTGCATTACTTAGGTCCAAAAGGAGTTATCCCACCTAGTCACATCTGAGAACCCTCTTCGTGCTCTGCTGATCAGGGTTTTTGAGCTCTGCCCTAGAGACCTGCCCTGATGGCCCCTTAGGTCTCCCTCAGTGCTGTATTCAAGCTACTCTGGACACGGGGTCAGCGGGAGGCAAGCAATACCCGGTTCTCGGTTCTCCATCGTAGGGAAGGGAACATGGCTTAGACACTGGAGAAATGTCCTTCTAGGACAACGGCTGGCTGCAAGAATCCCACAGCCAGAATAGCTGGTTCTGGGAGCTAAAAATGTCTTTTAAAAATGATTTGTCCATTCCCTGGCTACCACAGAAGAACAGAGTCAAGACTTATTAACTGACATAAGGGGCGGGCAGGGGAGGGACACTTTGGAGGTCATGCCAAATCATGATTTGTGTTGTTGCCTGAACCAGGGGACATCACTCACAAAACAGAGTTTGTGAGTGGTCACCAAACTGGGATTGGAGGCCGTGGTTTAAATTTGGTTTGTAAACCCCAGTGAAGGAAAGTTAACTTTCCTGAACCGACATGAAAGAAACTGTTTTGGACAGCATTCAGATGATGGCAGGGGAAACGGAATCACACAGTCCATGCTTTATCATCACATCTGAAGCCACCTCCAGCTTCTGCAGGCCACGCGTGACTGACAGTTGGGACCCAGATGAGGCTTTTTTCATGCTGTTCTCCCACTGCCGCTTTCCCTGGATTTTATGGGGGCTTCCATTTTTGTTCTCTACTGCTTCTAACCCTCCCTTCCCACAACCCTTATGACCATTTCTTCATATATAAGAGGCTTTGTCAAAGAGAAACACATACAAAAATCTGTGTATGAACTACAAAATTCTTTTCTTTAAGAGAGAAAAAAAGTATGGACTTCCTCTCTGGAAGGCTGGAACAACCCACGTTGCAAAGGGTATTGGAACCTCCATTGCTGGGCTGGCCGGCCTCGGGGTGTCTGCTCGGGCGGACGCTCTCCCATGGCTGAGTTGCCTCCCCATCACAGTCTGCCTCCTCTCCCAGTCCTCCTCTTCGCCTGGAAGAAAACAACAGCCTGTCTCACACGCAATTCACATCCAGGCAGGCCACCAGACTGGCGTATCCACGGGCTGCCTCCTTCCTCCACCTCTCCCTCCCTCACCTTCTGCAAAGGAACTGGTTGTGATGGTTTGTGTTGGGATTCTTCTCTCTTGTGTTCCTGCAACGCAACCAACACAAGGGCCACCCTCTTCCCAAGAGCTGAGGACACATTAAAAACAAGCTATTAAGAGAAAGACAGTCTGTAAGGCTCACTGTAAAATACACACATTCCCTTCTTCTTGTGGCATTCTCCCCCCCCCCAGTAATAATGCATTTTTATTTTATTTTATTTTATTTATTATGCCACGGACACTACCCAAAGGTCTCTGGGCAGCTTACAACATGTGGGAAGGAATGAGGCCAATCATGGCAGGCGTGGCAATGGCGGGAATCTGGCGGCCTCTTTGGCGAAGGGGGGGCGCCTGGGGCAGAAAGAAAGGGTGGACTCCCCCTTCCCCCCTCTTTAAAAATGGAAGTGTGGATTAGTCTAGGTTTGTGGGGATTCCAAATGTCCCCTCCCAAAAAAAAACCTCCAAGGGTCAATTATTTCATGTTAAGACTCTCTTCTCTCCCTGCCCCCCCCGCAGACCCCATGGAGGGGAGTTCCCACCTGAGGGTCCCCTCCAGGTCCCCAAAAGAGGCCATCAGAAAAGGGGGGGTCGTGGTTGTGGGGGGG